ATTTTAGCGTTGTCCGGTGTCCGGAGGGACAACTCGAAAACTAAAAAAAAAAAAAGGAAAAAAAGAAAGAGATAGAAAAAAAGAGAAGGGTAGAAAAAAAGAAGAAAGAAAATACAGTGAAAAAAGGCTGATAAAATTTTTTTTGTTAGCCGTGCCGTGATGTATGCGTGATCAGAATTCGCGAAGTTTCGCGCATCTGGTTCGAGGCGAAAGTTCGAGTGCGACACCCGCACATGACATCGCTGTGTCGGAGTGTGTATCGAGGGGTGGGATGGCGAGCATCGGGGGGAGGGCGGTTTCATTGTGACGACAATATCGCCTTGGGCGGCATTGGCGAGGCAGAGATGCAAATTTCGTGGAGGACGGCTCTGTTCTCCGTATTTTCATCTATGGACGACGAATTTAGTAATACCGCCAAGGAACGTAGCATCACTCGATTCTTCTCCATTCCTCTGCTTGGCCCGAACACCATTGATAATCAATTTTTCTCCTCTGTGAAAACATTCTTTACACGAATCACATATATATTTATATTTGATTTCTCGAATATTATTTGTGAATTCGAAAACAAGGGGACTAAGAAGAGAATTAATTGTTTGTTCAATCACTTCGAGATCGAGAACAAGATCTAAAATTTGCAATTTTCTTCTGTTCCAGGGGACGGCATCTTTCAAATCGCCACGGCAACGTTCATCGTAAGTACCGAAATCCCGCTCACTACAGCAACGCCTCTGGATCCCCTTTTCCTCCAATTTCACCCCCTCTTCCCTCGAAATCGACCCTCGAATCAATTATATTACGTTACAAACATTTCCAAACTCGCGAGAAATCGTTAAATCTCGTCTCGTCGTTGAATCTCTTCTCGCGAACAATGGTAGTCCAATGGTAGTTTCCGATTTCTCGGCGTTCTACGCCAATGCGTGCATACGCACGAGTGCAGGGAGCAACGGAGGAAAGGGGTTGACAATGCAGCTGCGAGGCGGGGTGGCAGCTTCGTAGTGGTCTCGTAGCCGTCGTGGTCTCGTAGCCGTCGTCGTCGTCGTGCAATGTCAGTGGCGATAGCTCGGTGACGGAGACGAAGTAGGAAGAAGGGTGGTTAGACGCGGGAGGGTGGGCGAGGCTGGCGCTCGAAGGAGGATTGGGGGGCGGAAAACTGGTGAAGTGGGGACGCTCTAAGGTACATAATCATGCTTGCCGATTCCTTCTCTAATAAAAGTCTCGTTGCCATCATCCCTCCTCCCTCGCCTCCTCCCTCCCTTAACCGAAGAAGATCCACCTCTCTCTTTCTTCTTCTTCTTCTTCTTCTTCTTCTTCTTCTTTCTCTTCTTTTCTCTCTTGCGTGTGGAGAAAGATGCATTACGAGCAATCAGGTCCGCGAGATGCACCCCTTCCGCGACAGGGTTGTGTAAGAAGAGAAAAGTAAGCGGAATACTGGAAAGGAAGGGGTAGGAATCGAGCGAGATACGGGTCAGAAATGCTTGCCGTAGCATCATCTGAACTTGCAATTTTGTTCATCCCCACTCGAAGATCACGTATCGTTTTTTTTCTCCAACTCCACCACTTCTTCTCCGGATGGAGAATGGCTGGCATTCGTTCTGCCGCTCCGAGTCGATATCCGAGACAACGATGAACACTCGGTATATCGATTAGGGAGCGATCCCTTCCACGGATCGAGAACGATTTGCAAATTAATTTGGCTTTGTCGGTGGATCGTCCGCGATACGCTGATCCTCGCGGTAAACAGAGCCTGCACGAAATGCTCTTCACTCCTCCT